CAGCCAAACACTTAGCCACTGAGCGACGGGCTCCTTCTGTAAAGACTACAGCCAAGAAAATCCTTTGGATTTTGCAGTTCTACTCCGTAACACGTGGGATCGCCAAGAGTTGGTATCAACTTGACGGCAGTGGATTTGGCGTTTTGGTTTTGGTGCTACCCCCTGTGAAGTATGGCATCCCTATTTTGCAGAAGAGGCAACTGAATGTCCTAGAGCATAAAAGACTAGCCTTAGGTCATCCAGCTAGGAAGAGGCATGTCTTAGACTGGTTCTCTAGAGAAGCAAAACCAGTAAAGTGTATAAATATATACAGAGGTATATATAGGAGCCCTGGTAGCGCAGTGGCCAAGAGAGTTCAGCTGCTAACCAAAAGGTCAGCAGTTCAAATCCACCGTCCACTCCTTGGAAACCCTATGGGGCAGTTGTACTCTGTCCTATGGGGTTGCCATGAATTGGAATCGACTTGACGGCAGCAGGTTTGGATTTTTTGTTGGCTCACATGGTTGTAGAGGCTGGAACATGGGTCAGGCTGGGGGCTTCTCCTGATTCACATAGCCACAGGGCCTGGAGAACCCGAGATAGGCAAGTCAGAGAGCAGGGCTCTTGCTCACAGGCTGTGAAGACCAACCAATCCCAAGATCAGCAGGCAAGACAGAAGGTAAGCTGCTAGCTAAAGTCCCAAGAAGGGAGGATGAACACAGCCAGCCGCAAGATCCAGCGCGAGCAAAAGCCCACGAGCCTTGCCAGAAAGTCCACTTATATTGCATGCAGGCCACACACCCAAGGAAACTCTATTTCAGCTGGTTGGCTACTCAAAGCAGATCCCACTATGGAGGTGATCACATTATATCAAATCTCATCATGAAAGTTATCACATCATCATACGACTGCCAAACCGCTGAGAATCATGGCTCGGCCAAGTTGACACACAACCCTAATGATCACAAGGTGACAGGACAGAATTAGAACCCAAGGCTGTGCCTGTTCCGAGCCCCAGGATTCAAAATGCCAGGCTGGGATGCAGTCGGGTGGGGAAACTAAAACCTGTGGATTAGAAGTTGTGGGGCAAGGGTAAAGGAAGTGGCATTCCCAGATGCTATAACCCCCAACCAGTCCCCTAAGACCCTGGCTGGGGGCAGCGACTGCCTCCTGGTCAGTGGCCGCCTCTACCCCACATAAAATCCCCTCCACATGCATCTGGAGTGAGGCCTGGGAGTGGGGAGCACCGAGCTCTGAGCTGGGTAGGAGGCAGTTAGAACTTTCTGGAGCACCTCCCCCAGCAGGATGAGCTGAAGACCACCGGGGAGGTGTTAATGAAACAGGGAAGCTGCGAACAGACCCAGGAGTTATTCCAATCTGACACCTCAACCCCAACCCCCACTAGTAATGAGCTGGGACCTGCCCTTCTCCCCAGGGGATGGGGGAGGGTGAAGGGAGAAGTCCTTGGGCATCTTTGTAGCTTCGGATGCCTCTTCTCTTTATTATTATTATCATCATTGCAATAAAGAGCTCACACTTCCTGAGTGCCTACTGTGTCCCACACACTGTACTAAATCCTTTTCATGCACCCCATCCTTTAATCCTCATAACCACCTATGTGGTAGGTACTCTTCATTTTACAGATAAAGAAACTGAGGCTCAATCAGGTGTTTGCCAAAAGCAGAGTTAACATTTGGACTCAGGTCCGTCTGACTTGGAAGTCTGTGTTCTTAATACTTTTGCTACTGTGCCTCTGGCATGGGCCTACTGAGGTCCTCAGGAGGAAGGTGGGTGGGATGGAAATGTTCCCCAGTCTGGGGGTGGGTAGGGCACCCAACCCTTGGGGCCCTGGAGGAGGGGCCCATATACATGTGGCCCTTGGGCTGGGATGGTGAATAGGGCACTGTGCCCACCAAGTGTCCTAGAAGTTCCAGAATTGAGAAGAAAGAAGAGCAGGATCCCAGCACCCCCACCAAGCCTGGTCATTTCTGTTTGTTCTCTTTGGATTTGGTTTCTACTTATGTACAGAGCCAGGGTCTCTAAGGAGACCCACTGCCTGAGGAAGGGGATGGAGAGGGGTTTTGCCTGAGAAGGCTTGAAGAACAGGCGGGGGCCTCCGGGAAGACCCCTGCCTCCCAGCCCCCTGAGGGAAGGGCTGAGCAGCTCAGCAGTGGAGTGCTGGCTCCCATGTTTGTAAACACCATTAATCAGGGATTAGCAGATGGGCATGCTAATTGCACCTGTAGAAGCGAGAGCTCAAGGTTGATTACATTTACAAACTGTGGGGCTCCCCAGCCAGCGCCCGGCCCTGCAGGGGTGGAGGGGACGGTATGGGGGGAGGGCACTATTTGTTTAGGACCTCAGCCTAAAGGGATGGCATTTTAACCTCCTGCCGAAAAAGATTCCAGCCAAGGCCCTGGAAGAGGAGGGGCTAGAGGGAAGGGGTGCTGGCCACAATTCAGACGCTCTGGGAATCCTGAGTTCGTGCAAATCCTCTGAAACTCTTCCCCTCTGGGCCAAGGAGCCCTGACAGGAGAAGATCCTGCAGACGGCACTTCATCCCCCTCCTCTCCCCAACGCCCTCCAGCTGTTCTCAGGTGTAAATCAGCACCTTGCAGGTGAAACAGGCCTTAGGGTCTGAGGAACAAGAGGCCAGGTTGGCAGCAGAGCACAGCCAGCGCCCTGACCTCCAGGTCTGCCCCAGGTGCTGCAAGGAACAGCTGCCGTCCTCCCCAGGCAGGGAGCTGAGGGCTTTATGTGGATTATCTCATTACCACTATCCTCTGAGGTGGGTACTGTTGTTATCCCCATTTTACAGATGAGGAAAACTAAGGCTTGGAAAAGTTAAGGGACATGTCCACATTGACTGCTGGCAAGCCATAGAACTGAAACTCAAACCAAGCACTGCTTAGCAGTGAGGGTCTTGCTCTTAACCACCACTGTTCTCTCCTCTGGCTTCATCCCAGCCACAGCCTGCAGGGGATGGACCCACACCCAGCCCCTTCATTCTCATGGCCATGGCCACCCAGCTCCCCACCCAGCTCCTGTGTATTCAACAAACAGATACAGAGCAGCATGTCTGCATCAGACACTGCACTAGGTGCCAAAGGCCAGTTGGGGGAATCAGCGTCATCATTGTCCTTAGGATCATGGGCTGTTTCTGTCTAGGGAATGCCTGGTTTGCATAACATAGCCACGTGTGTGTGGCGCGTGCACAGGCTGTTGAGGAGTGGGCAGGTAGAGCAGGTATTAATGGCATTATCCCCATTTTACAGATGAGAAGACTGAGACGTCATCAGCTAGGAAGTCGTGGAGCCAGGGATAGAACCGGCATCTTTTGAAGAACCTTACGAACAGACGAAAGAGGGTCGCCCCTGTCCCACACTTTCAGGCATGAGCTCAAAAGCACAGGTGTGTGTGGCTTTGGAAGCAGTTTCTTGGACATGAGCAGGTGGCTCAGAGGTCAGTGATTCTGGAACTTGGCTACACCCTGGAAGGAGCTGGGGAGCTTTCAGAACTACTGATACCTGGCCCCAGAGGTCTGAGTTAACTGGTCTGGGTACCTCTGGGCATGGGGATTCACTCCCTGGTAAGCTAAGGTGTAGCCAAGGTTAAAAACCACTGCACTGGGCTCTTGGCCAAGAGTGTCGCAGGGTAGGGGAGGCAGCGACTGCAGCCAAGGCTGGCCGACTAAGCTGTGGTCAGACCCTGGTGACAGCCTCGGGACCAAGAGCTCACAGGGACCATACTGGAGTTTACAAAGGGGTTTCTTCCTCTTTCTCAACTTTAAAGAGAACTTGTTGGGTGCCACTGAGCCTATTTTCAATTTAGAGCAACCCCATGTGACAAGTAGAACAGCTCCATAGGATTTTCTGGGCTGTAATTTTTACAGGAGCAGATTGCCAGTTCTTCTCCCTCAGAGCCGCTGGCAGGTTCAAACCACCCACCTTTCAGTTAGCAAAGCGTTGACCATTGTGCCACCACAGATCCTTAGAGAGATCTAAGCTCTTTTAAAATAAATTGGAATGTTTTTCTAAATTGACTTCATCATTAGAATGCCAGAGAAAAGGGGGATACTGTTTACTGTATAAGGTACTGAATTGCTATTAATCTCTTTTTTCCTCCCAGCAACCCAAGAAGGTAGATGATCCCCATTTCACAGAGGACGGGACTAAGGCTCAGGTGGCTAAGGAACTTGCCCAAGGTCACACACCCTCTCAAGGTTTGAACTCAGGGCTGCTGTCTTCTAAATCCACACTCCACTGCAGTGGTTCTCAACCAGGGGCATTTGGCAATGTCTGGAGACATTTTTGGTTGTCGAAATGTGGAAAGGGGGTGCTATTGGCACTGAGTGGGTAGAAGCCAGGGGCTGCTAAACATCCTACAATGCACAGGACAGCTTCTCACAACAAAGAATTATTTGGCCCAAAATGCCAATAGTGCCGAGGGTGAGAAACCCTGCTCTGGTGGTTGTCGGCCTCGGCTACACATTAGAACCTCCTGGGGAGCTTTAAAATACCCTGATGCCCAGGTTGCACCCAGACCAATTACATCAGACTCTGGGGTGGGTCCCCGGTGTCAGGTTTTTGGTTTTTGTTTTTTTTTTTTAAGCTTGCAAGGTGGTTCCAATGAGCAGCCCAGGTTGAGAACCACTGCTCTAAACTATTTCCACTGCTGGCTTCTGCTCCGATCACAGGGCCCTCAGGGAGGAGTGCCAAGTCTGTCTGGGTTGTACAATAAACATCAGTCCTGTCCTAACCACCTTATGGAATCAAAGGTGACGGCTTTGGTTCACTGGTTCCTTCGATTGAGATGGATTGACTGACAAACACAGGTGGGGACCCTCAAAGGCCTGGGTGGGGTGGGAGGTGTTTGTTCCTCTTTCCCTCTCCTCTCCTGGCGCCGCAGCCAGGAGCCTTCCCAGGTACCTCTGAAAGCGAAGAGGCTGTGGACCAAAGAGCAAGGCTGCCACCTAATGGAAGAATTGGAGAGAATGCCACACTTGTTGAGTGCCTACCAGGTGTTTTATTTGATCTTCAACAACAACCCTATGAGGCAGGTGCAAACAAGGACCCTGAGGCACAAGAAGATGAAGCTGTGTGCTCAAGGCCCCACAGGGCATCCGTGTTGGAGGCCCAGATCTGCACCCAGGTCTGCCTACTCCACAGAAAGCCCTGCCCTCCCCCTATATTCTCATGTCCCATACAGCAGACAAGAGGAATAGGCCCCTGGACTGGGCTGTCCACTGCCCTCTTCCCTCCTGATATCTAGACTTCTCTTCAACTTCCAGGAGAATCCTGGGAGGACACAGACCCTCTGTCCTAGTCCATGCTGGAAATTAACAAGTTTCATCTCCAACTGCGAGGTCAATATCAAAACAGGAAACTGAACTTCTGGTCTCCACAGCAAAGGCCCCCAAGGCGATGGTCAGTAGAGGCCTGGGCACACACTCGGCAGAGACTCGGACACATGTGAGCGTGTGGATATCTCTGCACCCATCCCCTGCACTCCAGCAAACACACACCTCAGGCAGTCCAAATCAGCCCGCATTCTGCCTCTCTGTTTCTGATCCTGAAGACAGTCCTGGGTGCTGAGCCACTCTGGGCTCTTTGAATGTGGCTGAGGATTCTGGAGTGTCTTGGAGAAGTTGCTCTCTTTCTCCCTCTGCAGGGAAACCCTTCCTCTGGCTGCAGATGGAGTGAAGAAGAATTCCTGCAGACAGACAAAAGGACAAGGGAAAGAGAGAGAGAGGAAGGGCCATGTACAGAGCTGTTGCCATGTGCCAGGCACTCCTTCATAACCTCCTCAAGAAGTATTATTTTCCCCATTTTGCACATAAAGCAACTGAGGTACAGAGAGCCTAAGTAACTTGTTTAGGATGAAACAACCAGAAAATGGGATTAGAGAGAAGCTATGCCTATGAGATTACAGAGAGAAGCGGTAGACTCACCTGCAGCCACGGAGACGTTCAAGGACTCAAGTCCAGGAGGCAACTGCCGTCGGGGCAGAATGGTAAGGAGAAGCTGGCAGGAGGCCTGTACCTCTTGGGACAGGCCTGAGCCCTCATTCCCTGCAGGGCAAGGGGGCAGTAGGTTAGGGACGCACCTAGCTAGGCACCTGCGTGCTCAGATGCACATCTTAGCACAAAAAAACTGGGACTCTACCTACCTAGCACCAGCAGAGTGGGCCGATCCCAGAGGAACTCCAAACAGCTAATGACAGGGATCTCGGAGGAGTGAGGAATCTCAGGCCCCGGGCACCCCACTGTGCCGGCCACGAGCCAGCCCTGCAGGGCCTTGGCCTGCAAGCAGGGAGAAGACACCATGTTCCACTCGCCAAACCTTCATCAGAGCCCTGGCCCAGGAGAGCCCAGCCTTGCCCATATATTCATTCACTCACTAATCCATTCAGTTCAATCAATGGCTATGAAGCACCTAGAATGGGCCAGGTTCTTTCTGTTCTGGGCACTGGGGATAGGGTGGTGAAGAGACCAAAATCCAGTCTCATGGATGGATGGTCAGGGAAGGCCTCACTGAAGTGGCCTTTGAGTGTAGCCCTGAAGGAGATAAGGGAGCACCTACACTCTGAAGTGGGAGTCAACACCCAGACGAGAGGAAATGGGCTGGAGCTGCCAAACACAGGGCAATACTGCCTCCTTGTGTCCAGCAAAGGAAGCACTGCTGAAGATAGAGACAAAGAAGGGTTTCCTAAGATTATCCATAGACCCTTCTTAGATTTCAAAGTTTGGGACTTTTCTTTTTCTTTCTTTTTTTTTTTTTTTTGAGGCGGGGGAGGGAGGAAACATAGAGGACTCCTTGGTATGGGAGCTTTTCAAGCTGAGGCCCTGCTCAAGGAACCTAGGCCTCCTATCCACCAGCGACCCACAGTAAAGGGAATGAAGCTAGGGAATCCCTAACTTCAGATACTGCTCCATTTGTGGTTTAAAAAACTCCGGGCTCACACCCTTCCTAAAGGGATTTAGACGGCCCTAGGAAGTGATACACACCAATAGCTCCCTTCTCCCTCCCTCCCATCAGCTGCAGGCTGACTGCCCTGGAGAGGCTGGGCTGAGATCATTACCTGCATGAAACCGGTGAGGTCATCAGTGGAGAATACATCCATTACCTCCAGAGCCCCCGCGCTGGCCTTGCTGACTACTGGGGTGAGCGGGCAGCTGCAAAATTTCCCCATCGCCCGCATCAGGCTGGGCAATCCCGAGCCTGGTGCCCTCTCCCAACCCCCAAGGGTTAGAGGTGAGAGTTCAGGCGATGGGGAGGCCTGGTTGAGGGACCACCCAGGGGTCCAGGTGCTCAGGAACTCGGCTGCACCTCTAAATTGGGGCACATGGGTAATAAGGGGCGTTCTTGCCTGTTTCTCCGGCTGGTGATGACCTTATCCACTCCGAGGAAGTGAGCAGAGCGCAGCACGGCCCCAAGATTCCGGGGATCCTGGAGCCCCTCCAGGACAAGCCATAGCTGCTGAGGGTCGTCGCCTGGTCTTGCCTCCCCGGCCTCAGTCCAAGGCCGGGGGCGCAGCGGGCTCACCTCCAAGCACACGCCCTGGTGGACCTGGTAGCGGCTAAGTGCGTCCAGCTTCCGCCGTCGGGGCCGCAAAATTGGGATGCCCCGCTCCTCGGCCGCCCGGAGCAGCTCAGCCCGCTCCCCCTGCAGCCCGGCCCTGCCGGCCTGGAGCAGGAGTCGGGCCACGCGACGGCGGGCGGCCCGCAGGGCCAGGAGGCACGGAGACAGGCCAAACAGGAGTTCCAGTCCCCCAGCAGACCGCCAGCCTGGAGCCAGGTCATCGAATGGCAGGCGGCTTAGCTCCTCCCCGCCAGGCCGCGCCGCCTGGGAGAAATGACGGACGAGGAGGCGACCGGAGCAACACCAGGTCGCACTCCCGAAAAGCGCCAGCAACCTCATGGTGCGGGCTGCCCTGAGGACCTGATGCCCCTTGCTACGTTCCCGGGAGCAGTCACCACCGCCGGGGCCCGCCTGCAGGCACCCAACACAGGGGTAAAGGGGGCCCGACGGCTGCCCCAACTACACTCCCTCAGACAGAGGAACGAACAACCGCAACCCGAACTCCGAGATTATCCAAAGCTTAACAGCTAAGACACGACCGCCCACTTCTCGGCTCCCACGTGGGCCGCTCCGCTTCCGGGTTCGCGAGGCCCCGCCCCTTACCGCCGGTGACGCACCGCGCATGCCCTGCCGCTAATTTGTCCACACAGTGCCTCCTGCAGGGGTGGTTGAGGCACCCTGCACCGAGCGGCGGCCGGCCAAGAGGCGGTGCTCCAAGTTTAGCTGACGCTACTGTCAGCTCCACTGTCACTTCACCCTTGCTCAGCAGGCCCTGGGTCCTCCACCTGCGCGCTCGGCCAAACTTCCTCAAGCAGCCGTAGCTGCAAAGGGCTTCTGCACTCTTGGAGTTCTAGGAGGCTGAGAGGCCACATTTACCCCGACTCCAGCAAAGGACACTTTAAGGGAATGTGCTACTCTTCCTGTTCAACCAAGTCGGTCTGGTGCCTCCCTCTCCACATCCAAACCGCCACCAAGTGCTGCGGATTCCTCAGAATCCTCTCCTGCATCCAGCCCCTCCCCACTGCCTTGTCAGACCCTCACCACCAGTCAGCAGGACCCCAGCAATAACTTCCTGTTACGTGGATGTTGATTCTTTTCCTGACAGCTGTGCTCCTGTCCCCCCCTTGCTGACAAACCAACTGATGCCTTTGGTCCACCGGTAAAGTCCAGCCTCCCTTGCTCAGCGTTCAGACCCCTAGTGATCAAATCAGGAGCTACCCTTCCAGCCCCATCTCACTCCTGCACTAAGTTATGTGCTGTTCCCACAAGACTGCATGCTCTTCCTCGCCTCCCAGCCTTGCACACAGTTTGTCTTCTTTGCTGGCAAATGCCTACCCATTTCAAGACCCAACCCAAATCCACTCCGCCACCTAAAGTAATCCACACACCAGAAGTGATATCCCAAATCTACCCACCTTCTCCCTCACCTGGAAGACATTCTGAGACAGTCACTCCTGATCACAGAGAAGGGGAAAGAACTGAAAGACACTCCGAAGTCAATGTAGGTTGCTTGGAATTTTTCCTTTAATTATCAAGAGTGAAATCCACTTGGGAGCTAGGCCCTGGCGTTCTCTTGCCATAGTCAGCGTGATGACCACCCACGCCGAGAACCCCAAGATTGGGCTGGAGAGCTGGGAAGGGGGTAGGGGAAGCAGAGCATGGAGAGGAGAAAGCCTGGAGTCCTGGATAACCATTCAGATATAAGGTTAGGGCTTCTCTCTGCCACCCCAACCCTGAGGGGCAGGAGTTGGGGTACAAGAAGGTTGGCGGAAGCCCTCCTTTTGGCCACAGCCCCTTTCCCAGGTCAAAGGGAAGATACTGAGGAGAGCAAAGGTTAAGGAGCCCAAGAAGGGGACCAAGAACAAGTTAACAGGTAAAACAATCAGGGACACCATCTTCTCTCCCTAGCCCATTTTTACATTTGCAATGGAAAGAATTTGACAATATAAAAACCTCCAACAAATTTTCTAGCCTCTGGTGGGAGTAGAGAAGGGAAGTGGAATCCAGGGGTCCAGAAATCAACACCTAAAATCCAGAGGCAGTAGCCAAGCCATGGGGTATGGGAGGGAAAGAGGAACTCCCCAGAGGACACTAGGTCACCTGCTCCGTGGGCCTCATCTGGATGTCTCCGATCTGCGGAAGGCACACGGCTTGAGGCAGCCAGGGCACTCTCCCACCCCCTTAAGGCCTCCCTGCTCCCCTCCTCTGGGGATGGTTAGGCTCCTCCAGGGGGTAGACAGTCAAGGTCAGACTCACCTGGACGTGCGGGGGAGTGCTGAGGACATAGATGACAGCCTCGGCCACATCCTCAGGTTTGAGACACTGAGAGTATGGAGGAAAGGGTTGGGGACAGAATGGACTCAAGGTCCCTCCCCACACTGAGGCCCTCTCCAGCATCCACATTCCCACCCCAACTCTCCATGACAGGTGACAGGCTGGCTAGAAGGATGGGGGTCTGAAGACCAAGGGTCCCTCCGCCTACACTTAGGGAGAGTGGCTTCACCGGGCCCAGAGGGAGGCCCCACCTTCATGTGTTCGTATGTGGCAGCTGCCTTCTCAGGGTCCTTGTCATGAAGTTTGAAGGCGAACTGTGTCTCCACCACCCCTGGAGAGATACACTGGGCCAACAGAGAGGGCCTGCTCAAGGGCTTAGCTTTGCCCCACCCCTGCCCCAACCAGAGGTCAGGCCTTCGGGAAGGGTGGGACAAAAGGATGGAAGTCACAGCTTCACAGAGATGGCTGCCTAATGTCCAGCAGCCACCTCCTCCCTCCAAAGCTGCCACTGGGGATGATCACAATGATTCCTGCCATCTACAGAGCCCTTACTATATGCTAAGTAAATGTTTTACAAAGTGGTGTCCCTTAAAGCTTCATAATTAGGTAAGTATCATCATCTCCATTTTACAAATGAGAAGACTAAGGCTTGGAGAGGTTGAGTGACTTGCCCAAGGTCATGTAGCCTTCAAGCAGAAAAGCCCAGAATGATTCCAACCACTGCACACCTGGTCTCCCATAATCCCTTGCTTTCCCTTAGTCTTACCCCACTGTGTTTCCCTCAGGTCAGCCCCTCCCACCTCAAAGTTTAATTCTGGTCACGGACTCCCGGACCAGTGAGATGGGGAAACGCAAGTACCGAGCAGGGGAATGAAAGTAGCAGCAGAGCCCAGGAGTTCTGTACTTAGTCCAGTCCCAGCACACCCTGGACCTGAGCTTCCTGGGTGGTGTGCGAGGGGTGGCAGATGGAGGGGGGTCCAGTGCCCACCCTATCCCTCCCAGGGCTAGGCCAGGCCCTCACTGTGGCTCGGATGTGGGTCTGGGCCTCCCGAAGCTCATGCCTCAGTCCCTCAGTCAGGGCAGTGACGGCGTACTTGGTTGCACTGTAGAAATGGATCACCGACTGGGGTACCACTCGGTGGCCAGACATGCTGGATAGAGGGAGGGAAGGGGAAAGGAGAGGGAGTGAGGCACCTGGGAGACTGGCAGTGCCCTCTGCTGTACTTGTCAAGTCTCCCACCCCCACCCAATCAGATCATGAACCCACCACCCATACACTGACAGGGATGCCTTCTAAAGGGGACCTTTAGTGGCCATCTCCATGGCCCACCAATCTAGCTTCTGTTATTCAAGCAGCTCCTGAAGGCCCTCCTCTTCCTAGAGGTCATCCCTACACTGACCACAGGACCTTCTCTCCTGGTCACACAAGATGTCAAAGTATCTCAATTCCATCGGTGGGTTCACTGAAATGGTTCTATTAGGAGAACTCTGGGGGCAGGGGCTATGTCTCTCCCATCAGACTGGGCGCTCCTGATGGCAGAGAGTCTGCAGTCCTTCTTTTTCTCACAAGGTGGGGTTCAGCCCAGGGCCTGAAGAATGGAGAAGCTCAGTCCCAGGAGAGTTCCCAGGCTTCAGCTGCAAAGCGAAGGGGCTGAGCTACCCATTCTACCCTCCATGGGCTGGCACTTAACACACATCATTCTCACCCCCACCCTAATCGTGCTATTTTACTACTAAGGAAACTAAGTTCCAAAAAGGTCAAGTGAACTACCTCAGAGCACCCAGTGTGGAGGATGAGTGATAATCTGGACTCTACCAATTGGCCACCCACCCTCACCTGTTGATGTTAATGATGTGTCCATCGTCTACCTTCCGCTCCTTCATGGACTGGTAGGCTTCCCGTGTGCAGATGCTGAGGGCCAGCACATTCACCTGTAGGCCAGGGAGGGGAATGGAGTGTCTCCAGCTTGAGCCCATCTGGGCAGGTGATGGAGCCACAGAGCACCCTGGCGGGGGGGCGGTGTAGAGGTAGAGTGTCTAGGTTCCACTAGAGGCCAACAATGGGCCCAGGTACCTTGCCTTCTACTCTAGGTGACCCTTCCCCCAAAGCCACCAGTCCTGGCTGACAGCAGAGGTAGCTCTTCTTCCTGGGTGACCCCTACCCCCAAGTCCCTGCAAACAGAAACAAAACTCCTAACTCCATGCATAACCCAGAAGGCTCCATGTTGGCTCTCTTCTGCGAAGGGTAGAACCTCTGCACTAGGGAATCACCTCCTTTTCTTCCCTCAATACCCTATCCTTCTCTTCTCTGGGACAGTGTCCCTGGCCCTGCCCTCTCCTAAACAGCCTAAAATTCCTCTAGAATGGCTTAAAAATCTCTCCTCAAGAACGGACTCTGGAGAAAGTACAGCCAGAATACTTATTAGAAGCGAGGATGGCGAGACTTCACCTCACATACTTTGGACAAGTTATCAGGAGGGATCAGTCCCTGGAGAAGGACATCATGCTTGATAAAGTAGAGGGTCAACAAAATAGAGGAAGACCTTCAACAAGATGGATCAATACAGTGGCTGCAACAATGGGCTCAAACATAACAATTGTGAGGATGAGGCAGTGTTTCATTCTGTTGTACACAGGGTAGCTATGAATTGGAACCGACTCACCGGCACCTAACAACAACAACAAGCACAGACTCTAGCCTCTCCCTACCTTACTCACCTACTCTCTTTACCATCCCTTCCCTTGAGACTAAAATGGAGGAGAAGAGAAGGCTTGACCCTCCTCCTTTTTATGCCTTCCCTTAACCTGCGTTCCATCTACAAGACTAGGCCTGGAGACTCGTTAGAAGGCAGTGTAACTTGTCACAGGGATGGCAGGGGAGCGCCCAAGAACATGGGGGTTCATGCCTTCCTTGGCCCCTGCCCACCCGCCTCCAACTCACTCTAGCAGAGGTGACCCCAAATCCCCAGCCTTCATGGAACAGAAGCCTGAAGAAAGGTCTCTGCTGTAAGGCTCCTGCCCGGCCCCGCCCTTTCCACCTCACACATGAGGACAAGAAGATAAACCTGTCATCCGGTCTTCACTCTCTCCCCTTGGGAAGAGAGGGAACCAGCTGGGAGATTAGATGTTTCTCCTTATCGGGCGTCAGAGAGCCAGGCATTGAGAACAGAACACCCTTGGTGTGAACCTGCCTCAGCGTTCACGACAGTAGGAGGGAGAGACGTGCACCAGAAGGGCAGGAGAGGTTTTCTGGCCATCTTATTTATGTGAGTTTATGGGACAGAGAACTCAGCTCCTGAGGGCAGATGGAGTAGGAGAAACAGAGCCCGCGGGACCAGGTAAATGGACCTCCTAGGTCTGGGGGTCAGGGGTGGAGGTGGAGATGAAAAAGATGCTTTATAAGATAGTCCTAACAGAATCAGATAATGTTCAAGCAGAAAGGGGCCTTAGAGATTTAATATAATTCCCTCATCTTACAGAAGGGCAAGTTGAGGTCCAGGTTTAGAGACCCACTTGCTGCAGGTGTGGAACATGACTCTGCTCTCCCAGAAGGCTCTCTGAGGGCAGGGGCAGGGCTATCTTGTCACTGCTTCATTTCCAGGCCCAAGCACCTGGTATTGTTGTTATTGTTAGCTGCCAGGAGTCAGCCCAGCCCCTGACTCATGGCAATGCCATGTGTTACAGAGTAGAACTGTTCCATAGCGTTTTCTTTACAGAAGCAGTTTTCCAGGCCTTTCTTCCGCAGACCCACTGGATAGGTTCAAACCACCAACCTTTAGGTTAGCAGCAAATTGCAAACCACTTGCACCACCCAGGCTCCTTGCCCAAGCACCTACTGGGTGCTAAATCTACTGTCTGCAGATGTGAAAAGGACTGTGGGAGAAAAGAAGCATCATGTTCACACACTGCTTTTAACTTCTACAAATACTTTCATAATCTAAACATCACCCTATAATACAGTCCCAAAGTTGAAAATTCATACCATGAAGGCTGCATTTGGCGTGTACACTGTCTTAAATAATTTTAGTTTGCGATATGTATTGGAAAGTTTCATTCATTCAATAAACACTGAGTGTTTATGGGCTGAGACTCTATCAAAGAATAAAACAGAAAAAAATCTTTGCCCTCATGGAGCTGTCATTTTACTATCACATTTAGGTGTTTAGTGAGCACCCGAGCCCTCACAAAAAAATCCAGACTCCTCACTTCTGGCAAAGAAATCCTAACATCTGGCCACACTGGGCCCACACTGCTGTTTATAGGAATGATGCTGGACTTGAGCAGCAGCCACCCCTTCAGATGGCCATGTGCTCTTCCATTCACTGCAGACCCCAGCTGACCTGCTCACTCATTTGTGCAACCTACCTGGCCCCAGGGGACATTTGAGTTTGCAACCCCAGATATTGATGGTGTGGGTGGGTTCATCCCAATTAAAAGTGACAAGACTGAAGCTCAGAGAAGGTAACTAAGCTGCTCAAATCACACCATTATCTGCAGGACTGAGTGAGAACATCACCTCTTGTCTCCCAGTGCCTGTTCTTCCAGAAGACCATGTTCCCAAACACTCAGCTCAGTGATAACACATGGGGGACATTCAATACACAGTTTTCTCCCCTACCAATCTTTCGTCCAGCAGAAGGCAATCGGCCTAGATTTTAAGAACTAACTGTGAGGGCTCAATCGAACAAAGGACTGAAAATACAGAGCCATTCATCCACTCAGCAACCCTCTGGAAAAGAAAGAAGCAAGGGCAAAGTGAGAGCCAAAACACCTCAGGTAGGAACCTGAAGCTCCCTCTTCCTTGTTGACCTATCCCCAGCAGCGCTCTGGTTCACAAACCCCTGGCTCCTTGCTCTCCTCCCCCACCCCCATCCCCGCCTAGAGCCTTACGTTGAACATGTCCTTCCAACCGCTGGTGCTGCCTGAGAGCAGGGGGTCAGGCCGGGCCAGGCCGGCATTGTTGATGCAGATGTCCACACCGCTGTGCTGAGAGCGGACAGCCGAGAACATGGAGAGGATGTCCTCCTCGTTTGACAGGTCACATCTGTAGGGGATCAAGGTCCCGGGGTAGCCTGCACTCTTACATTCAGCAGCCAGCTCCTATGAAACCCAACAGGGGTCTGACTGGGGTGAGCTGTTCACTCCCACACCTCCCCACCCAGAGACACACCTCCCTCCGTGTCACGACTCATAGAACTCTCTCATGCGGCAGCCTCCTTTCTGCCACCTGGATGCTGGAACTGCCCATCCCCAAAGCTTGTCTCCTTTGATCAAAGTCCAGGGGTCAAGTACTGCCTGAGTGAGGGGCGGGGAAAGCTGAGGAGAGCAATGAAATAAAACTGGGTTGTAGTGTTAGGTTTCAGGAACCTCACATAAACGAGAGTCTTCCATTCTAAGAAGGGAGAAGGGCTGGGGCTGTGAGGGGGTCAGAAAAGAGGGCCAGGGATCCTGAGAAAGGATATCTGTTTTCTGCCTCTTCTCCAACAGGAACATACATCTCTTCTGCCTATATATAGGTAAGAAGCACCTCTCACCCTGTACCGAGAGTCACTGAGCTGGTCACCTGGTCACCCCAGGGCCTCGATTCTCTCATCCCCCATCACCTCATCCAGTCTCTCCTAGAAAGTCTCATCTCTGAACTCTCTGAAGGGCACACACATATTCACCCCACCACCACCAACTGTAGCCAGTTGGCTCTGGAGTTCTCACACATACCTTTCAATCAAGCCCAAATGCCAATCTCTCCTCTCCCTACCTATAGGAAGGATCGGGACCTATAGGAAGGATCGGGAAGTCAGGACAGATTCTTTCTATGTGTCCCCTGGTGTACCACTCTCCACCCCAAGGCTTCTCTCCCTGAGAAACACGTGAGAAAGCAGAGCCACAGAGAGATGTCCATGAGGGAAGCTGACATCCAGAAGCAGAAGAAAACAAGCTGTGTGGTCCTGGAGGCCAGTGACTGGGCCCTTGAACCTTGTGAAGGTGACTGCGTACATGTGTATGTGTAGGGGTGCGGGGTGCCCTACAGGAAGGCCATCTTGGCCAGCTGCCCTGGCCTGGAGCCCCTTCGTCTCCCTAAACCAAGCGGGGAATAAAGGGCTAGATCAAAAGACTTAAGAGATCCTTTTCTGCTTTAACTCTCTGTGAGTTCAAAAGGTATAATCCTCTAGGGCTCAGAAACCCCCTCTCACCCAGTTTCACCTACTCACTATCACCTCAGGAAATGGCACTTCCCTCCCTAGGAAGCCAGAACCCAAACTCTGCTTTCATATCAATGAATCAATCGATCGTGAGCAAGAAAGCCTGGCATATATAACTTCACCCTTCCTCCTCCAGACTCAAAGTTGCCCTTGGGAAAGCTGGAATAAAGGGACTAAGAATATATTTCTCCCTGTCAATACGTTCTCATTGCCCCTGCGTGCCACCTGGACCAACTCCCCACCTACCCTCAAAAATGACTTGAAATCATTTCAGTTCCCTCACAGCACAGGCATTTGACCCTCATCGCATGCAGTCATCCTGGAGTTGAGTGATCAGCCTGGGGATCCCCCTGGGGTTCAGGGACCCCCCCCTTCCTGGCTGGTTTGGGGTACGGGAGTAGGAAAGGTTAAGAGTGGCTTTAGAATTAGGAAATCCAGTTCTCCAATCTCTAGCCTGATCTTCTGGGCTCCAAGGATGGGGCTGGGCCCTGAGCTCCTCAGAATAGGGGAGAGGAAGGGGCAAAGTGGGGCAGCTGTAGAGCCAGATGACCTTGAGATTATCTGGAAAGCTATAAAGTGTACCTTTGGTCAGCAGCAAGGGAGGGGATGGTCCTCCTTCCTGTACACCTTCTCCCTCTGCCCCAACTCAAGGCCTCCTTACCCCTTCCCTGCCTGGAGACTTGGAGCAATGGTGGAGATAAAGCAGTGCAATTAAGCACTACCCCAGACCCTGAGAGTGATTCCACCAGTGGCAAATCTGAAGATGATCTATGATGCAAATTTTTCTTGTCTCCTTCCTCCCGGCTCCAACATGGCCAACTTAGTTTCATATTTCTTTAAGTTCTTGCTGTTCAGAACTGCAATGACTCCCAACTCCACATTAAGAGAAAACCAGCAGTTCCACTTCCACACTGCTTTGTCCCCTTGGGGTTCACATGTTCAATGCCAGATTTCACTTAGTCCCACCTGGGACAGTGAAATTTCAGAAAGATCTATGAATAGTCCATTCATACCGAATGCCCATAAGGTGTGGGTTAACCCTCAGATTTGGGGGTCGGGGCTGAACTTCTTCAGAAAAACTCCACTCCCACCCCAACCCCACCCTAAGCCCAAACCTGATGCTGTCTCATAGGGGCCCTATAGGACAGAGTAAAACTGCCCCATAGGGTTTCCAAGGAGTGGCTGGTGGATTCGAACTGCACATCTTTTGGTTAGCAGCCGAGCTCTTAACGACTGCGCCATCAGGGCTTCCCACCCTAAGAAGTGGGTCAAAATTTTAAATGATCAAAACCTCTAGCTCCTGCTCATCTGGCTGGCCAACAAATTTTGTCTGGCTTGGTGGGTGGGGTCTGGGGAACAGAGAAAGCGATCCAGTAGCCAACCTAGCCACTGTGGCCAGAAAAGCTTTCTTTCCTTCTCCCTGGCTGCCCAGTTAGCCCCGGATCCTGGGAAGGTAGGTGATGGGGGAGAAAAAATGCCGGGAGTTAGAGATGTGGTATACACTAGAGCAGGGGCTGTCAGGAGAAAATGTCTCCTTAAAAGACGGGACTTAAAGGAGCGAAGGTTAGAGGTCTCCCCGACTAGGTATCCATCCCTCCTGCCCCAGAGCCCGTGGCAAATGGCCCTGGTGTGGCAGGCAAGTAAGGACAGCTTCACAGCCTGGCCACTCCCCCTCCCCCACCCGCAGCCCTACTTCCGTCGAAACGACGCCTCCCAGACCGTCCCTGCTCCCGGCCGGGCCTTACCTCGATGTTGCTGACGGTGCGGGCACAACCCACCACCTTCAGTCCCTGCTGGACCAGGGCCCGGGCCACTGCCGCGCCGATGCCCCCCGAGGCGCCCGTCACCAGCGCCAGCCGGTCGCGCCACCGCTCCATGCCGGCCCTGGCCATGGTACCAAGCCGCCCGCCCACCTCGTTCCGCGAGCCCGGCACTTGGATCGGGGAGCTCCGCCCCAGGTCGGAGAGGCCCGGCCGCTCTCCTGTCACCGCCGCGACAGCCACCGCTGACCTGCCGGCGTCCCAGCCGCGCCTCGACCCACCCCCATCCCAGCCGGCCCGCGACCGGGGCTCCACCCCCCGTTCGTCCACGCCAAGCCACATCCTTTGGCTGCCCCGCCCCGACAGGCCCCGCCCCTTCCGGTTCCGCCCCCTCGCGCTCGACGAGCCCGCCCCTGCCCTGATGCCGGGGAAAGCGTACCACCCGCACTACCAGCAGGCGCGGGAGACTTGCCCGGGAGCGTGCTGTCCTGCTTTTCTGGTGAGCTCTTCCCCTTGGGGCAGGGAAACCGAGCTTCAACCGGGGATTGCTCCAGCCCCAAGGTTGCACATACTCTTGCCTCTTGCTCAGTCTTCCTTCCCAGTTCCTGCCCCCTAAGACCACCCACTGCTGTCTAGTCGATTCTGACTCACAGCGACCATGTAGGACAGAGCCCTATAGGTTTTCCAAGGCTGTAATTCTTTACAGAAGCAGATTGCCACATCTTTCTCCCGGAGGCTGGTGGGTTCGAACCGCTGACCTTATGGTTCGCAGCCGAGCGCTTTAACCACTGCGCCACCAGGACGCTTATAGAGTTGGCAGCGGTGGGATTCGAAACCACGTCCTGCAGAGACTACACCTTAATTGAGGCTCCACCTTAATCCAGCACCTTTGACCCCTGGGCCACGCTACCGCACATGCTGGCACCCCCTAAGACCGGTATGAGAAATTAAGGGCCCTTAAGTCGGAATCGACTCCACAGCAACAGGATTGGTTTTTGGAAAGTGACTTCAGGAGCCCTGGTAGCGCAGTGGTTAAAGCGCTAGGCTGCTAACCGAAAGGTTGGCAGTTTGAACCCACCAGCCGCTCTGTGGGAGAAAGATTACAGCCTTGTAACCCTATAGGGCAGTTCCGTCTTCTAGTGTTGCTATGAGGCAGAATTGACTCAACTGCAACGGGTTTTAAAGTGACTTCCAAACGCCTTCCCAAACCAGCCTTGGCTACATGGAAGGCTTCAGCCCAGAAAAGGCAGTTAGTTCTCTGCCATCAACACTGGGTGACCTTGGGAAGGGCTCTTCACACCCTACCTGACTGACCCCTCCACTTTACTAGCCAAGGAATAGTAGAATGGTTAAAAATGGAAATAACCCATGTACACCTGTACTGGCATTCTGTCCCTAAATGCCCTGCCTCCAACTATCCTACCTAGGTCATTTCCAGCCCCCACCCCATTAGAGCAAATGTATCACCATGTATAACAAAGATTAAAGCAATAACTAACATTCATTGAGCACTTAATGTGTGATAGGCACTTTTAAGCACTTTACATATATTAAGAAATTTAATCTGCACAACTACCCTATGACAAACCAAACGCATTGCCGTCCAGCTGATTCCAACTCATAGCGACCCTATAGGACAGAGGAGAACTGCTCCATAGGGTTTCCAAGGAGTGGCTGGTGGATTCGAACTGCCAACCTTTTGGTTAGCAGTTGTAGTAACCACTGCGCTACCAGGGCTCCACCACCCTATGAGATAGGTACTATTGTTTTCCTTTTTAAAATGAGTGTACTGAGAAACTGGTGAAGCATGATTTGGACCGCAGACAGTTCAGTCTTCGGCCAGGGATATGCTCCTACACTGCCTTCGAAATTCCATTAGCCCTGGGAGGAACAACTCAAAAAAGGAGTGTGAGAATAGTTACACAACGTGAAGAATGTAATTAATGTCACTGAATTGTACATGTAAAAATGGTTGAATTGGTGTATGTTTTGTTGTGTATATTCTCAACAAATAAAACCATTAGCCCTTTTGTCTCTTCTTGGGTTGTCTCTTCTTAGAGCTCACTTTGCTCTCTGACTGACCACTCAGGATGTTCCATCAAAGTGCTGAAAACTGCCTCTCTTCTGCATTCTTAATGTATCCATCCTTCCAAAGAAAAAGCATCTCTGAATAACCACTGGAACCCCTGCCTGGCAAGGAATGGAAGTAGTAAATGTGGTTGGTTTATTAATTCAAAAAGCACTCATTTGCTATCATTTGTTAGGCTCCACAGGCAAAGATTACAACAAAACCAGTCCTTGCCTTTAGGGGGTCTCAAGAGAATACTTAGCTGTAATGGGTGGTGGAAAGGGGTTTGGCCTCAGAGCCAAGGAGTATGGAAAACCCTTAGTAATTTTTTTTTATGGATGCCAGGATAAGTGAAAGCAAACAACGATAAGAGATGAATCGTAACTCATCTTACCTCTGCCCCAATCCCTACACATAGATATGAAAAGACAACTGAGGACGTAGATCAGAGAAACACCACCAAATACAAAATTTAAATCTCACTGAGCTTCTGCTGTTGCCCACTTGAAATCTGATTAAGTGGCTGAAAGCCCATAAAATTCACTCTGTCCCTACTGTTCAACAGTATTGACTGTCCCACTGCTTGTCTGCTGCTCACCAAGTATTATCAATATGCAGACACAAAGCTCCAAGCACACGTGTTTACTGAGCTATTGACTCAGCCTTTTAAATGGCAGCCAAATGCTACTCCTTGGGGGATCTCTTTCTTCAGTGCTCACACAGCCTGCAACAGCAGTAAACTGTAATGCCATAGTGACTTTATTGTTGGAAACCAGGTAAGGCTGAAGGCGCACTTATGCAGACCACAGTATGGTTAGCTATCATTGCAGTCTTCTGATCCCAGTTTTAAATGCTGAGTAATTATCGGGCAACCCTTAGTTGAAATTCTGCCAAGTTTTGGTTTCATTTTTTCTGGGTCAATATGAGCCTCTGAATTTAAGGTGCTTTGTGTTATCAGGGGAGCCCTGGTGGCACAGTGGTTAAAGCACTTGGAGCCCACCAGCCACTCCATGGGATAAAGACGTGGCAGTCTGCACCTGTAAAGATTACAGCCTTGGAAACCCTACAGGGCAGTTCCACTCTGTCCTACAGGGCTGCTGTAAGTCAGAATCAACTCAAAGGCAACGGGTTTTGTATTATCAGGGAATTTTTAATAGTAGCAATTAAAGTCTCTTGAGAAATTAAGATGCTAGCTAGTATTTAAAGGTACTGCAGCAAATTTACTCTTTCAAAACAAATGACTGGAGACTGCTTTTCCAGGTCATCAGCTCGATTCAAGGGAAGAATTTTGTCTTCTGTTTAACCTGTACCTCTATCCTCATTTGTTCTTCATTCTCTCTAACATCAACACTGGCCAAGTACCAAGTCCACAAGTGGCAAATACTAAAATACTGCCACACATTAACTAGAAACATGTACACCAAATCTTACTATGCGTATTAATAAATATTCTTTATTTTAAATTTTGCACATTGAGCTTTAACATTATATCCAAACATTTTGCAAGTGGATGTCTACTTTGTAAAACCATATATTCAGCTCATTGTCATTTCTGTACAGAAGTATAAGTACAACATTACTTTTTGCCACTAGGTTGCTTTAGTAAGTTTCACAGGAAGAGAAACATTTAATGAAAAGAGATGGCTTAAATCATACGGCAGGCCTGCGCAGCCACGCAACTAAAGACACAAGCCTGAAGAAAGAACAAACTAATGAGGGTACCTCCACCGTCTCCCAAAACAAGAAAGAATCACATTGATTTAAGATAAAATTTTGCCATAAGTCACTAAATTAAGAGTTTGTTGAAAGAGAAGGCGCAGTAGTCATCTTGAGTGTTTCACTGAAAGACAGAGCTATTTTATTTATTTAATTTGCTCCAGCCGTTGTCAACCAGCCACTACAAATGGGCCTCTTGTGATCATTTAAGCGGCAGTATTTATTAAATTTCTCCTTCAGATGCTGTCGGTATTGTTCTCTATTGCTGTAGAAAGACTGGTTGTTAGCCATAAATGACTGTATTTCATCTTGTGAGATAAAGATTTCCTCATCTGAAGTACATTCAGACTCATCCTGCAAATTAAAGCAGTAGTTAAGACTATGACGTAAATTAAGCCTAGCTTTTTAGTTTCAATTCAGTCACATAAATCCTTTAATTAGGGTGTTTACAGCATAAGCAGCATGTCATTCTGCAAAGGATTTGATTCCATGAGGACCCTAATAGCTATGAATAAGACACTGCCTTTCTCCCAGCACCACACACACTATGCACGGGGTCACCTGGAATCAGGTATAACTGATTCAAAGTCTCAGGAATTAAAGTCAATTATAGAAGATTTCCCAAGTTCAGTTATTCATTAATCCTACATGACACCTGAAAGTAGTAACCTAAAAGGTGGACTATAGTTCAGGTTCTATATTCTTTCCTAGTCTAAAAGGGTGGCTAGCATAAATTCTCACTCAGAAAGGGAGGGTTTGTTTACAATAACTCTCCTTCAAGGAGGTAGACTCCTGCACACAGTGCTACCTCTACTTCCCTCTCTCAACTAGTCTCTTCCACTTTTGAGACAAAGGACAAGGAAATGTCCTCCAGAGTAGTTGCATAAACCATGAGTGGAAGAGCAGAAATGAAGGTATCAAAGAACAATGAAATACTGCCCTTAATTTCTTAAAAGTTTTCCCTTACCTCTAACAAACAGTGCCCCTCCCTCTCTACCTACTGAACAAACTGCTGTCCACAGTAAGACATTCTGGGTTACTTACAAGGAGTTCAACTAAGCTCTTGGCACCTTTTCCAGAATCAGGACCAAATGACGTTTCTGTAGGTTCTGCAAACTGTGGTACATTTTTTCTATGCTCGAACCAAGGCAGTGGCTGCCCACCCTTTTCAGAGCTGCAACAGCTTTCAGGATGTGCATCTTTGGTCTTGTCACGGTGAAACACTGTGTGCATGGTATTTCCTGAGGTCTCTCGATTACCTGGATCTGTAATACAGCTTCCAAGCTTTTGGATCTGAAACCACAGCAAAGGACTTCCCAAGTAAAAAGGCAGGGAATAATAGCAATTATTCTTTAAAGAAAAAAAAAAAATCCTGTAAGAGAGTTAAACCTTTAGAAGGAATACTGAACAATAGCAGAAGCATCATTTACTGAGCACTTACTCTATACTGGACACTACACAAACATTTCAATATAATCTCATTTCATCTTCACAGAACCTAATCTCATAGGGATTATTTATCCCAACATTACATATGACAATACTAAGATTAAGCAAACTGCTCAAGATTACACAGCTACTAAATAAAACAGTATTATGAAAAGAATGAACTGGATTTATGACTGATGCACTGTTGGACACATCAGACACACATGAAAATCACAAGATGAGCAACCAATGGAACTGTAAAAAGTACTCAATTTAAAAAATACATAAATCCTAGCAGATAAACTGTACACATGCAACTCCAAGGAAAATAGGTTGTTCTCCACAGTAAAGGTTATGACACTTACATGTTCATCACACTTCAACATCTTGCTTTTCTTTTTCTTCTTTTTATTTTTTCCTTTTGTGCTGTTCTCTTCAGAATTTGCCCAACATTCAACACAACTATCACCATCATCCTCCTTATCTTCACAGTGATGAACACAGGAGTCATCAACTGCAGAAAGCAATAACCCCTCTTATTTATGCTCTGAAATCAATCATGTAGTAGAAATAATTGGGAAGCTCAACCTGAACCTACCATGTTCATCATGATTACAAATGCCTTCAGTGCAGGCCACATCCGAACCTTCCCGGGAACCTGTTTCACTCCCTTCCATGCTAGATGAATATCCACAATCACTACCATTACAGTGTGCAGATAAACCTGAGAATAAATCAGGTAAAAGTTACAGATAGCTACAATCAACATACCAATAAAAATACTGAGACAAAGAGTGAGCCAACTGGGGACCACAGAAAAGTTTCAAAATTGATGACTTATTGAGAGTAGAAAGTAAACTAAATAATAAAAATATTATTAGGGATATAACAGTTTTTTGTCAAATAACAACAAATCAAAGATCATAAAGAGAAAGGAAATTTTGGGTACTTGACTAAATTACATGATATTCTTGGGGTTATAAAGCAGTTCCTAAATTCTAAAATCTCTAAAAGCTTTTACATTTATAACTAAGAATAGCCTTTAAGAGTTAATTTTAGATGAGAGGACAAAAAGGGACAGAAGCTGGTTGAACAGACACGGGAAATCCGGGGTGGAAAGGAGGAGTGTGCTGTCACATCATAGGGAGAGCAACTAGGGTCACATAACAATGTGTGTATAAATTTTTGTATGAGAAACTAACTTGAACTGTAAACTTTCACTTAAAGCACAATAAAAAATATTTTAAAAAAGAGTTAATTTTAAAAATAAACTATTTTCTTACCTTTCTTCATTTTAGGGGACCCCAAAAGATTGCCACTGCTAGGACAGGTACATGATGTATTTTCATTGGTAACAATTACTTCTACACAACTATTTCCATCTTCAGTGCTGCCACAAGCTTTGCAGCTATTTTCTATGAAGTCTGTTTCCTATAAGATCAACATTAAGAGACTGTATAAAAAGATTTACCTACACAGTTATTACATTCTAATTTTCTTAGCATTAACCAATTAGGAGTTAAGAGGTTAACAACTGAAAAAACTGTTCTCATGAAAAACGACTAATTCAAGACTGTGAACCAACTAAAATCAAGTTGAGAGTTAATGATATCAGTTAAGTCTAGGATACCAAAACCCGTTCCCGTCCAGTCAATTTCGACTTATAGCAACCCTACAGGACAGGGTAAAACTGCCCCATGGGGTTTCCAAGGCTGTAATCTTCACAGAAGCAGACTGCCACATCTTTCTCCCCTGGAGCAACCAGTGGGTTCGAACTGCTGACCTTTTGGTTAATGGCCAAGCGTTTTAACCATTGTGCCACCAGGGCTTCTGAAGTCTAGGACAGCAGTTCTCAAAGTGTGGTCCCTGACCCTGGAAGTTTGCAAAGTCAAAACTATTTTCATATTTATATTAAGACATTAATTGCCTTTTTCACCGTGTTGGCATTTACAATGGTGGGCAAAGCTCTTCACACAAATAAAGGCAGTGTCACCAAAGTGTACTAATAGTCATTATATTCTTCACTTGTCAAACACTCACAGGGGGAAAAAGCATATTTCACTTGTGAATGCCCTTGATAAAGTGGTAAAAATCATTAACTTCATTAAATATCAACTTTTGAGTAGACATCTAAAACAGCTTATATTAAAATAGTCCTCCCTTGTCTTACCATATATTTATCTCAGTAAGACCAGATTTTCTTCATACGCTTCAACATATGAAAACAGACTGAACGGAAAAGCAAATATGAGAATCTGACTCCCCTTAAGCCAAACATCAAAGAGATTTGTAAAAATATAAAATAATGCCTCTTTCCATTTTCTTTTGGAAAATATTTTTCAAAAATATTGTTCATGTTAACATATAATGGGCTTATCATCATGCTTGAATTAGTAATAATTAAAACATTTCTCAGTTTTAATTTCTAGTACAGTAATTACTGATAAATATAACCCACATAAATAAAAGCTCATTGGGCATCTTAATTTTTTAAAATGTAAAGGGGTCCTGGGACAGAAAAGTTAACTGCTCTAGATCATGTACAGAGGTAACTTTCCACATTTTGACTTTGATCCTAACAGCACAGTAATATCTGGTAAAGAGGTTAACTAACAAATACATGACATTAAAAATTCTGGCTTACACAGACTACAGGAGGAAAAAAGCCAATATGTAAACTACAGGAGCTCACATCTGGAAGAGCATAATAAAAAATGCCCAAGTCTAGCAAAAAGTTATCCTTCTATCTAAAGCAGTACTACACATTTACAAGTTGGTATTATAGAATACTACCTTCTCTTGGCTTACTTCCTTTTCTTCTGATATTTGTAAGGGAGCAGGAATATCACACACACACTTATTTTTTCGTCTATTCTTCCGTTTTTGGCGTTTCTTTTCTTGCTTGAGTTCTCTTACACGTTCCTCCTCTGAAAATTCTTCACAAAGTTGTTCTAATCGACTTATACCCTGTACTTTTTCCACAGTCATCTATTATAAAAACAAAGCTGAGAGTGAATGCTGGCCCAAACTTCATTTTCCATAGAAATTTTCATGTTATATTCCAATAATACCACACACAAGAGAACATGATGTTTCATAGTGCAATTTTGAAAGGTAGTTCTTACAAAGGAATCTTAAGTTAATATCCTAAATGATGCCAGTCTTAAAATCTACTCAGGAAGGCAATATACAACTAATCCCAATGGAGAAAGACATACTTACACACACTCCTACTGTAAACCAGCAATATTCTAGTTTCGAATTTCAGAATTTTAACAAACATTCATTCATTTCTTTACACAATGAGAAGGCTATTTAACCTGATTAGACAATCTAGTCTCTAAAGGCACAAACATACAAAGAGAAAAAGAGTAAGATTAAAGAAATCTGTTCACAAGAACCAGTACAAATCTCGAGGCTCCCCAGAACAGGGTGTTTAAAGTTCATGGAAGGACTTTTGGAAAAGGGGTTTATAACCTTCATCTCACTCTAAAAAGGGACCAGTGACTTAAAGGGTTATAACCACGCCCTAGAATAAAATAAAATATTCACTAGCCAAAAACTTATGTTCTACAGAGTATAATCAGAGACAGAAAAAAAAAGTTACCAAATCACAAGCACTAAACCCACTATCAGCACTATAAAGAGACTTCAGCATGCACCTAAAAAGTAGTTTTTATATCATGCCTTTCAGACAGCATTACTTTATACTATTGAACATCAACAGGCAAACTGGGACTCATTAAAGGTTTCTAGTTTTGTTGCTTAATTTTTAGCTGGTTTTAACTTTTCATTAGTTATATTACATAACAGCATCTTGTTCAATAATCATTAATTTCAGTTTTCTACTCTAGAAAGTCTAAAAACTAAGGCTGAAGAATAAAAGAATTGAAAAACCAAGAGGAATTCACAAACAACTTCTTCTAAATATCGCAGCCTCCTAAATCTACCTTCCTCCCCCAAAAGCTATGAAACTGTATCAGTGGATTACAGGCCTCTGAGGAAAGGCAAGACCCATGGCTTAAGTAAATATTCAGTCCAAGAACTGGGCTAAGCATTTTTGGATAATGAAGTAGCTCACTGCTATTACCTCAAAACTCTTTCGTAAAGCATCAACACCAAGATAGAAAAGCATCTGCCACGTCTGCTCTTCTGCCCGTAGTTTTTGCCAGATTCGATGCAGTCTTTCATAAAGATGAATTCCCAAGCACGTCAGAACTTCTTCTTGAGCTATATCTATTGTCTTAGCATGCCTTTCTCTTCGCCTATAAAGGAAAATAAATCACACAATTCCTGATACCTTTCACTGAAACATAAAAATACAGTTATCACATCTGCCAAGTCCAGGTTTTAAAAATAATCTGCACACTTAATACCAATCTAATCACAAGAGTTATACATTTACACTCAATTACTATAAATACATAAGCACGCATGTATATAATCAATGAGAAATATACAAGCATGTAGAACTCAATCCTAATACTGCTAAAAATAAGGTAATTCAGGAACTGGCACTCATAGTTTTGGGGCACAGAAACATCATATGTAAGTGCCCAGTCCAGAGTAGGCATGACAGTTCCTTTCCCCTTCCTATTATAGCAAAATGCCTACGTTTTTACTGTGTTTTATTTTGTTCTTGGAGGGGGAAGTGGAGAAAGACGATGTCAAAGGGATTCAATCATGAGCAAAAGCCCTCTAGGCCAGACTTTAGCAGAAGTATTTACAAAGTTTTAGTGATAAAAGAGGTCTTTATATTCTAAATGCCTAGCAGAAAGTAGGCACTCAAATGAGGGTTGATAAATAAACATAGAAGAAAAATGGATTTGATTTATTCTGCCTTTTATGATTTTATTTTCACAAGGCCAGAGATACTGTTTTAGGTTTTAATATAATTTAACAATAATATAACATACACAGTTCATGAATTACATTCAATACAGCATTTAAGCCCCTGCTGCAAAGACTTCACTTCCTAAGCAAAAACCATCACAGTGAATAAAAACTTAAACATGGTAATGCACAGATGAAGGGGGGAAAAAAATCCCTTTCAGCTAATCACTTTCAAATGAAAATGATAATTTATAATAATGAATGCCACAAAAAGCCTGCCTCCCTTTAAGCAACAAGAAGCAGAGGACTGAACCAATACCACAGGACACTTTCTCTCTGCATTTTACTCACTTAATTAAGAAATGCGTATTTAAAGACAGCAGCATCTTTACATGCACACTCTATACATGTATCATACGTACTGAGGCAAAAGGTGATGGAAATAAACTTTCAGTAATAAAACGAAGCAAAGCGCTAGATAGCCCATTCTAGCAAATTACATACTCATACCCTCCTGCGAACTCTGGCTCAGCACGACCCAAAAGATGTGCAATAAAGTCTGTTTCACAGCACACATGTATATGTCGTTCATGTGGACAGCACCGCAGGCCTTCGTAAAGTGCAGCACAGTAGCCCTTCTCTTTGCTGCAATCAAGTTCACCAATCAGGATATTGTATGCTCGGAGGACTTTATTTTTGCAATCAGTGCAAAACCTGTTGAAAAGAAAAACCTCAAAATTAAGAACTGGCTGTGTAGTTATTTCACGTGATGTATATTAGTATACTAGACGACCGCACTCCCCTCCAATCTAGAGTACTTAAAAAGCCTCATCACACATTAAAAACATACACATGTAAGGTAAACACAAATTTAGAGAAAAGATTACATGATACAGCTAGATCTCCATTTGCAAATGATTTTTTAAACTAGAGAAGCACATGTTCTAAAAGAATGAAGCAGAAATATACCTGTCGGAGATCACAATAGAGGGTCCTGGACAAAGCTGGAGAAAAACGTAGAACAAAATTCTAACTCACAAAAAAAAAAAGGAAAAAAGACCAGACTTACTGGTCTGACAGAGACTAGAGAAACCTCAACACTATGGCCCCCTGGACACCCTTATAGCTCAGTAATGAAGTTACTCCTGAGGTTCACCCGTCAGCCAAAGATTAGACAGGCCCAGAAAACAAAATGAGACTAAACGGCACACCATTTACCTGAGGCCAGCCCCATATTGACCGATGGTGGGACATCTCAGCTCAGTAGGTAACACTTTAAATTCAGGGTCCAAAACAAAGTACAACACAGTTCTCTTCCTATGTTCCCTCCCAATCTCTGTTAAGGACATACCATTCACAGTCACCCAAGCAGAAAACCTCAGTCAATTCCAACTTCTCCCTGCCCTTATCCTTTGCCATCGAGTCAACTCCAACTCAAAGCGACCCTATATAACTTTTCCCTAGGTCTCCCTTTTTTGGGGGTGGGGGGGAATGCCAATTGGTATCAACTTTTTTATCTCTTACAGGACCCTTCAATTCCCTCTGTCCTGGTTTATGTTACCTAGACTATTAAAAAAAAGCGTAACTGGCTTCCCTGCTTCCACTCTTCCTAGCACTAATGCATCTCTCACGTCAAAATAATTTTTCTAAAACAAAGCTATCAGCTCAAAAACCTCCTCACTGCCTATGAATAAAGTTCAAACTTCTTACCAAGGCATTCAATGACTTCTTACTATTTCCCCAGCCTTATTTCCCAAGACTCACCTTTCCTCTCATGTTTCTCCCCACTCCACCCAGCTCCCATACACACACCATACGCACAATAGCCTACCTCTCTGAATATAGCTGATGTGTCCCTACTTCGAAGTGTTCTTCTTCTGCTTCCTTCCCACTCCTCTTCATATCCTTCTCCTAAACACTGCCCATCCTTAAAGAAGCCTCTACGGTTCCCATAACTAGAATTCAACCTTCTCTATGTTCTTATTATTCTGATTTGTACTTCTTACTATACTATTTACTACATCTTTATACTACCATGCATTAGTTTGATACACATCTGTCTTTCTGGCTCAGCAGTAGATAACTGTATTTCTTGAAATAAATGTATGGTTAGAATACAGGCTTCTCCCTGGCCCACCTGGTAACCAGAGGTAATAATGCTGACAAGTAACATTAAATCATTACGCTTCATCAGTGCCTTAAAAATGGACACAGAAATAACTACAAATAGTTATACATTTTCAGGCTAAGTAAATGTTCAAAGAAATTATCTGAATCAGTAATAAAACTTGAATTATTTTTCCCATATTTTACTACTTTAAATTGTGAATAGTTTAATGTATGTTTGATTGTACAACTATAAACACATAAGTAAACAGCAATTTATAAAACACAGAAAATATCTTCAACCATTATAGGAAAACTCTGAAACACTGGCCCTGATAGCTAGTAATTTATCACCAAAAAAGCTATCTTTTTATATTACAGACTAGAATATAAGGACCAATTCATATTGAAGGAAAAAGGAATCTACAATAGACCTATATATTTATATACATTTCATGCCTATGTAGTCTGACCTAAACTCCAGATAATTGACACATTCTCTACTCTCTTTAGTATAACCAACCAAAAAAGGCAATTAAACAAGAAAGTTTGTCATTGAAAAAAGAAAGAAATCTAATAAACTTAAGTATGCACGTTAACAGTTATTAGTTAGTTCACTGCCATATAATAAACACAAATCTTGAATAACACCAGTTTTTATCATTCACCTATAAATTCTTGTAAGTAGCAGTGTATTATCTATCTTAAGGTCAAACAATACACAACCACAAACCCAGCATGTGAAAAATATATATTAAAACAGAACTCCCTGCAAAAATGCCATCTCTAGGGCTGCGGGGAGATCAGAACTCTTATGCACTGCTGGTGGGAATGCACAATGATACAACCATTTTGGAAAATGATATGGCGCTTCCTCAGAAAGCTAGAAATAGACAT